AAAAAAAAAAAAAATTAAGAATTAAAAATATCTAAAGATTACGAACAAGTTGAGTTTTTTCCCTAGCGTTGATATTATTATTTTTCTGTAACAAAAAAGAAGAGGAAATATGAAATGATTTTATGAAAATTGAAGAAAAATAGATTGATGGATTTAAGAAAATAGAAATAAAATAGAAAAAATGGCGCGAACGCCATTAGACGTCTCGAAGTTCCATATTTGACCGCTATTCAACCGGCCGGCGTAGTGGCGCAACTATCCACGTGGTATAAGAGTTCGCGATCTTTCTACCTATCTACAAGTTTATTTGTAAACAGTATTTCGTAAGATGGACGCGTACGATATACATAGGAAAAATTGGGAAGAATTGGATGTAACCAAAGAAGAATTAAAAAATATAACGGAGTGTCTGAAAAAGGAAGAGTTTCGTAAATTGTTAATCGAATACGCTGAAGAGGTGACTGATCCAGAAAATAGAAAGATCTACGAAAAGGAAATCACACAATTGGAGAAGGAACGGGGCGTCGACGTTACATTTGTTCATCCCGAGCCTTGTTACGTCATAAAAACTAGTGTAAATGGAGAGAAAAAATGTTTTCTAAACATAAGCAAAAGTAACATTGTTGACCGACCAAGCAGTCAACCTTCTTTCGAGCAAGGTCATCGTGGATTACAATGGTCTATTCCTTATACATTGACACCTCCTCGTGATGACCTTGACAAAAAAAATGTACGTTGTAAAGTGTTCGATGTGGTCTTTCATCCTGACACCATGTATCTGTCATCCAAAAATGCACAATTTCGCGAAATTGTTCACAATACAGCCCTCGATGGCGTGGAAAATAATTTCAAGGTAAGAATTGTCAACCATTGTTTTGATTATTCGTTTTTTCGATTATTCATTATTGTAATTTTTTTATTCTACGTAATTCTCAGGTCAAACTGGACCGGAAAAATCTTAAGTTTCCAAAGATATCATACAAAGGAATATGCCATCCTACTGTGATCAGAAAGCCATCAAAGGAACCACCTAAAAAGCAATTGGACATAGAACCAGAAATTTATCAAAAATTAATGGCCAGTTATGATGAAAGCAGAAAACAACAATTCAAATGTGCAGAAGAAATGCCAAAGCGTTGTTCACCACCTACCAAGTATTATAATAAAAAAGTAGATAAAACTGAAGATATAAATAGCAAATATGTGACACCAAAATTTTCCATAAAACATCAATCTGATATAGAGTTGGAAGATTTTAGCAATAACAGAAATGCAAAAATGAATGCTACAGTACCTAAGAAATTAATCATTAATATAGATCTGCCCTTATTAAAAACTGCCTCTGATGCTTCCTTGGATGTACAAGAACGTTTTCTCAGTCTGAAAAGTGAAAAACCTGCAAAATATTTATTAGAATTACCTTTACCTTATTGTGTAAATGCAGACAAGGGTAATGCTAAATTTGATTCAAAATATAAAAAACTTGTAATAACACTACCAGTTATTCGACCAGTGGTACTGCTATCTGATGCTAGAGAGGATAGTGGAGTTGATAGTGATCATGATAGTCCAGTACCATTATCGTCAGAAGATTCTACAGAAAATTCTCTTGATCAAAATCAGAAGAGCAACTCTGTGTCTAAATTAGTTGAAGAATGTGAAAAAGTGCTTGAAGCTACTAAAATAGAGTATGAAAGTGAAAATATAGAGGATTCTAGTGATACAGCATTACGGACTAGCATAGAAAATATAGACATATTTTTAGATCCTAGCATTAAGTATTCACTGCCAACATTTATTTGTAATTTGTATAACAATCAATTAGCGATTACTGTAAATGTAAAAAATGTTGATCCGAATTCCATACGCCATAAAATTTTACAAAATAATTTAGGAATACACGTTTTACTAACGTCTATAGGTACAGGTTTCTTTCCACAGCATTATTCGTTGTGTTTAAAAATAAATGAAAATTCCATAGATCCCGATTCGCTCACGGTTGAACCGTGGGATAATAACGTTGTATTTACCATTACGTTAAAAAACGTGGAAAATTTAGCGCAATACTATGTTGGTACGAACGAAGAATTCATGGAAGAGAGACATTTTCCTACTGCTACGTCTTTCAAAAATCAACTACAAGAATTATTAGTAAGTATTATATATATATATGAATAGAAAATAAAGATTATTTTACGCTTCTCCCGTTATTTTATATAGGCAGAGGAAGATGATAATTTGGAAATGGATCGAACAGTCAACGTACATGCTGACGAAGACGGTGTCGTCATAAATATTACTTCGAAACATCTAGATTCTGACGATGAAGTCGAACAACACAGTACAGGATCGATAGAAGAACAACCGAGTCTTTGTCGTACGTTACCAAAGACTAGGTCTGTTTCAGAAAGCAGTGGGGATGAATTAACAAGTAATAGCATAAATACAGGATCATACTCGAAAAGTATATTGAAATCACGGCACACTCATGATTTTTCACGTTCAGTGTCCGAATCGAGTGCGGATGAAAATGGAATGGCTTCATCGTCTGTAGATTGCCATTACGATTCGACACAAGATTTAAATCTTGAATCAGATTGTTCCAGTTTAAAAAAGACAGTACGATTCAATGACGTGGTATCGCGACAATTGTTCAGGTATTTTTGAATTTTTTGAATATCTTATCGATTATTAATTTTTTATAATAACAAGTACGGTAAATTGATCGATTCTCGTTTAATTTCCAGATCTAATTCCAGTATTTTGGGTCAACGTAAAAAGAATCAACGAAAATTACGAAATAAAAGACGCGTTCACGAGCGTAGGATGAGCGAAAGCGAAAATTCCGAAACGGAGGAACGTGAAAAGTACAAAGCAAATCAAAAAAATGCGGAAGTCTCTGAGACTATAAAACCTATACTTAATAAGGATAAACAAGCGGCGCAACAAAAAACTGCGAATATCGAAATTGGAGAGGGATCGAATAATAATCATTCTTCATTAAAACGGAAATCAAGTATCGAGGAAGAAATTATAAACGAAGCAACCGAGATTGTAAAGGACGAAGTTACAGCACAATTTAAGAATGATCTAATATTCGACCTCGATATGTAGATTTTTTTATCGATCAAGGAATTTTGTAACGTGTATGTGATAATTTTTTAAAGCTTATAAAGCGAATTAAAGTAGTTTAATTGGACTTTTTTCAAGAAATTACAATAATAATAATAATTATGAATTTTGTCTAGGATCATGCGGTAATTTCTTGATAAAATAATAAATTCGTATAAATTATTATATAAAGGACTTCGAGAAAAATAGTCCTAGGTGATATAGAATTTTCTTTCGTTCGATAGTTCAAAACATCGATCTTATCGTAAATTTATCTTCTTCTATTTATAAAATTAGAGTAAGAATCTTTTTAATATTTCTCATATCGATCTATTTTGAATTTTAACTATCTCTTATAGAAAAGTATACAAAAAAAAAAATCACATTTCTTAAAATTTTTGTGAGGGAATCTTTCATAAAAAAAAAAAGAAAGTGCACGTTCTATTTTATAAGGCGAAATTCTTATGAAATGAATTTTTACATATATTTTATAGATCGTCGTGTAATTGTTTATATATAGAATGCACGTAACGAATTCATCTTTCCAATAATCACGATCGTATACACACACATATATATATATATATATAATCACGTTTATGAAAACATAACTCTGTTGTTGAAGCACTTGCTTTCCTAGCGAAGTGTTTCACCCGTATCACATATACACAATATACACGATACTAGCGTATTCTCTGCAAAAAAAAAAACAAGAAATAGAAACAATAGATAGATAAATAGATAGAAGTAAAATTTTACAATAATAAAATCGATCGATTTTTAATCGCTCATCATTATGAAAATTTGATCGAAGAATCATGGAAAAAAACGTACTATTATCATTATGAGAAACGTATACAATATATTTTAAACAACTAACCGATTTATTTTATTTCATTCACGCCCCACAAATTCTATATACCAAAATCATTCCTAACGATTTCTTAAACGAAACATCCTCTCCTATTCTTATTTTTCATTTGTCCCTTAATTATATATCCACAAGAACAAAAACGAAATAACGACAAAATCGTTTCTGAGAACTGATAAACAACTGGTAAATTCGCTTATAAGCGATGTAAGAAGTGCGAATCAAAGTAGAGTTACGTCGGTAGTGGTAAGGTAAAGTAGAAAAGTGGGACAAGCGAGCACGGTGAAGGCAGTTGGCCCGCGGTAGGAACTGTGGATGAGAGGTTGGAGCCCATCGATCTCGCGCTACCTGCGGGGGTGTAAGGTCGTTACACTCGCGTCTACCTATGCACGAGCTACAACATCGCATAGTTGCTCGTATTATTCCTATTTATGCCCCGCCACGGGAGCGAGACAGCGACGACCCTCACGAATGCAATGTTCTAATTTCGCGGCACAACCCTTTGCAACCACTACCACAGTTGACGACTACGGGGTCGCGGCCTGATTCGCAAACACTCTAAAAGACCTAGAAGGACAAGGGCCTCTCAGACACTACGAAGGTACTGCTTCTGGGGGGGATGCTGGCTAAAGAGTAGAATACACATCTTTCCAGATTTTCTACGTCTTACTTCCACATCTTGATTCTCGCGTGGATAAATAAATATATCCACGTTTGTAATTATAATTCAATTCTTATGAAAATATTTTATAGAATGGAATAACGTTACTTAATAATAACGTTCTAAAGACGAAGGATTGTTCTTTTTCTTTTTTTCCGTGATAATTTGAAATTGATTGATTCGAGTTTGATGAAAGGAAGAAAAAGGAAAAGAGAAAAGAAAAAATGACGTGTCGTCAAATTTTGAGATTGAACTAACCAATGAGACGAAGGCCTGACTGGTGGTAGGCCTGGCTAGCAGCACCCAGGTCGATAAGTCGTCCACCTCTAGAGAGAGTCAAAGGTTGGCGTGGGTACACGAGGGTACACGTACCCCGTTTACGGTAGTTACGGCAGGCACGACATCGGCAATGCGGCACCCGTCGTTACGTCGTTACGCCGTTCGGCCATCGCACCTGGCACCACTGGAAAACAGACCAGGCCGACCGGTATCTGAAACAGAATTACAGATGTTGAACGTCACCAAGTTATTTGTCACGCCAGTCATCTTAGCAACATCGATAATCGTGATACCAAATACATTGCACTCGTCAGCTTAACGAGTAAAGAAACAGTAGATAGATACTTCTTTGAAGATAATCCTTCGTCACACGTTGTTGGAGATCAATCGAATTCAATATGAATTAAATCGATTCTTTGATGTTATATCAATATATATAACAGAGTTATCGGTCTTCTTGAAGGATTATCAGAATTATTTTGAGTTATCGGTTATGATAGAAAATTCTTCTCTGAGAAGATTATTTGTACAACAATAATCGTTGAAACCTGAAAGAATATTTAGATTAGATTAGATTAGATTAAAAATGCTGAATGCGAGTAATTAAAATAAACGTTTCGAGTTAAGTATTGGATTATAAATAATTTAATTTGGAAATATGAGCTGCAAGAAAGATGTGGGATTGAAGAAAATGAGAGAGACGACGTCTCGTTAATTTTTATTTTATCGCATTCAGTGGAATTATGCGAACGAGTATTGCGAACTTTTTATTATTTCGACGTTTCTGGGAGAAGAGGAAAGAAGAGTTCTTGAGAAAAGGAGGGGGGAAAGGAGCGATGGCACTCTTGGAACTTTCCTGCCTCTTTTTTTTTATCTCAATCCGTCTTCTTTTCTCCATCCCTCCCTACGGAGTCAGGTACTCGAAGTGTGGAGTATCGATTATATGGACCCTGCTTCGTGACCACGCGCCGTCTGTACGTTGTGCTGCCCGGATAACCCA